CTCACACACAACCATACACACATATCACCGCCACCAGCATACCACAAAACACACACACACACACACACAAACACACACACACTCTCACACACACACACACGCATACCACCACCACCACAACCACCACCAGCACAACCACCACCAGCACAAACCACTCACACCACACAAAACTAGTAACTCCACTACACACCACACAAGACCCCACTACACACCACACTATGACACGAACACACACAAGTGGCCCACAAAAACATACAAAGAAAACAACAAGGCATAGAATCACCTGGTTACCCCACTTTGTTATTACAATGTCGAGGGCCTATTCTTTGGAAGATTCAGTGGATCTTACCCAAGCGTGTCGGTAGCCCATGGGGGCTGCTGGTCTTGGCTACTGTCAGAATCGTATAATGACATGTAATAACTAGATTCTAGTAGTACAATGTACTAGGTTACTTGTGGGTCAAAGGGAGAAGTTGTGAGCTTGGGGCGGGTGGCTGGAGGGAGTGAGGGAAGCATGCGAGTTTGTCACAGGTCCAGTTTGTCACAGGCCCACGACTCCCGCCTCGGCTGTGCCCTGCATGATGGCAGTTAGGCCTATCACTGACACTCTCAAAAAGAGTAAATGAATGATTGATAGATTGCATGAATTGGATTTTATTTTTCAATTGTTTTCAACGAAAGAACATTCATTGTCGAAATTTTACAAAGTAATTTGTTTTGATTTGCATGCAATAAGGAAGAAATATTGAACAACACAAGCTGAAATGACATTGAAGAGGGACTATATATCTACACAACCTATTTGAAGGTGTAGCATACAAAAGTAAGTTACAACTACTGTGTTTTAAAGGGGTGGACCTGTGACAAACTGGGCAGCCCCCGGCTGGAGCTAAAGGTGGGCAAAATCCGGGTGAATATCCGGATAATCGGATGATCCTCAATAAAACAATATATATCCAAAATCAGATTCTTAACTCTCTTTCCTGACCAGTTTGCCGAATTGGGTGCCCCCATTAATTGTTGAAGTCATGCTAACCCATTTGCCGAAGCGGTTCATAACATATTATTTACCCGAAGAGGTGCAGTGACATTTTATTCGGATTTTGTTCAAGCGACTCATTGCCCAGCCCTCGCTGGAGCCGAGCTTTACTTTCCTTCTGTTGCTTGTTCCTTCTGTTGCTTGTGCCTGCCTGCTGTCTTA